GTGCACCAACGTTCCTAATGATCAAGGCAGAAAGGGATAATCAGACTCACTACTCAGACCATCCTTCTTCACAACTCGGGATTATCCTGCGTCTCAAGATCAATTCAGCAGCTATCGAAGAGGATGGAAAGGTTACCCGAAGTGGTTCCAGAGCCCCCGTGGGAAAACGGGATCGTTTTCCAACCAGGTTTTTATGAAATAATCCTTGAATTGAGTGAGCTTCTGATAAGCTTCGTGGTTCGTGCCTGGGGATTCCGCTTCCACCTCCAACCACGCATCGTCGAGGCTTGAGAGTGGCACAAGGCTCAATGCCATGCAGCCTCTGATGTACCTGTGGTAGACAATCACCTTAAACACCTTTCAAGGTTTCTTGGAAATGCCGAAGTTGCGAATATAGGTATCATATGGGTTCAGTAAGCCTCAAATGCTCAACACCTACTTCTCCACGGCGGGATCGTTTCCGTAAGGCCTCGTCAAACCCTCGCGCTGGACCCTCCTCCACAGGGCCTGAGTGTAATGAAAATTACACCCTTTAATTTCGGCGAGGGGGAACTTCTCTTGAATCGCCCGAAGTACAGCGAGCTCGAAATCGACTTGAAATTTCTGGGGTTGAAGACAGAAATTTCTACTGGCGGCGCATCCCTTCAAAAGATCAAACGCTCGAAGGTATGTATTCGTGCTCTTGTCGGGTAGGAGGAGATAAACGAGAGGCATCATTTGCCCCCTGTAGAAGGCATGTAGAGTGTACAATTGGCAGAATATGTTGGGAACTACTCGGAATGTTCCGTCCATATAGATTACAGGAGCTTGAGTCAAGATCCGCAGAGTCTCATCCGTGCCGAGACCGACAATTTTCCCATCGCCTCCGTCGTTGAACAGAACGAAGTTCTGTCCAGAATGAGTCTGGGACCATACGCCGACAAGTGATAAGTCAGCTCGACAAGCGGGTAGCGGAGGCCGCTGTGTTGCTCTCTGTCTCTGGAGAATGCTGCGAACGTTCTTGTAGGTAGGCATCGCTGCAGCGATCTTCTCCGTAGGATGAGACCTTTCCGTCTCTACAAAGCTGTCCGCCAAAACTTGCTGGTAGACCTCTTTGCTCGATTTGTGCGGCCGACTTAAGCATTGCTCCTTCATACCGAGAATCGCTTTTCGTCGCATCAGATCGTCACTCTCTCCGGTGTGATTGTGCGCTCCTTTCTCCTCCGCTAGCATTGTCACCTAGGTATAAGCGAGCAAATATCCAGGAGCGAATCCACGTTCAAGTCCTCGATTATTCAGAATTTAGACCACGAATAACCAAGGCTCTATGATCCTCATGTCATAGAAAGCTCCTACCTTATCCACGATGACTCGGGACCCGCACTTATCACCCTTACTGCGTACACATCTACAGTAGGTTCGCTCCCCTTTTTTGCGTCGACGGAGTAAAGAAAGTTCCCAACGCGGTACAGCGGCTTACCCCACGCGGATTTCAAGACTTCAACCTCCATACTCATTCTCGACAGGAAGACTCCGGAATACTCACAACTCACAATCACAATCGGATGTTGATTCATCCAAGCAACTTCGTTGTCTTTGGCGGTTACCTTCTTATTACAGTAAGAGGTCGAAGTTCCCCTGCGCCTGATCCCGCTCCGCCGGCCCCAGGGAGCTCCTCGCGAATAGAACCCCCGGGGCCTGTCGTCGGAGCAGGCGCGGGGTTTAAGTCATGGCGGTAAGAGACACACATGGGCATTCGCACGAACCGAATCGGCTTTCTTGGAGGAATAGCATGAGGCTCCCTCCAAGTTTCCGGAGGACGCGCCTGCGGGTCTCACAGTCTGCCTCAGGATCGCCGGCTTCCCGATTCGAACTCGCAAGCTCCCGCACTTCACGAAGTCGAATAACGATGTGCTTGTCTTCCGAAATGAAGGCGGCTCTGTGTATGACGACGAACGTGCACATATCTCCATCTAAGTTGCTTACCAAAGCACTCGACCATCTGTCACTCAGTCTGAAGTCTGAATACTTGGGTATCGATATCTGAAGAAATCCGACGCTGGTCATCTGTCACTCAGTCTGAAGTCTGAATACTTGGGTATCGATATCTGAAGAAATCCGACGGGTCGACGAAGACTCTGCAATTGAGCTGAAAAGGCTGTAGCGACAAGCGAACTCTGATAGAATTAAGCTGGGAAATCACATTTTGAGGCCAGCATTCAGCCGTCAGAGGCTATAGCACATGATCGGAGCCTATGGAGTATAGAGCTCGCTTATTGAAAGAATACAAGAACTCTTCGATACGAATATTCTTCTTCTATCATCCACGATCTTGCCGAGCCGTCTCGTGATGATGCATGGCTGAGACGATGATCAGCTTTTCGTGCGAACGATCGAAAATCGTAACCGTGATAATTGAAATCGTAAGTGGAGAAATTATTTCCCAAAATGGCCTTGGGAATAACCTTATGTCCTCGCTGTAATTTTCCCTATGACAACTCCCACTCTGGACATAGAAGCTTACTCCGCAGGCAACAAGCTGAGAAAAGAGGGGGAAAATTTTCGGCCCTACGGGTTTTCGGCCCCATGAGCGTTCGACTATCCGATTTTTCGGCCCGACAGGATTTCGGCCCTTCGCGTTTTCGGCCCTACGGGAGTCATTCCTTTTTAACCGGGGTATCTGCGGGGTTCTTGAACGGCCCGCTTGGATAAACAGATAGACATCAGATGAGAATCGATAGTATTACTAGTAGAATTGAACCTGTTTCATCACTTGAGGATTCGCGACTTCGATAGAGTCCACGATTCCAGCTCTTAATACTTCTTTCATCTGGGGACGCCATTGCCTCGAATCTCTCTCGGCGCTGTCATTCGACGGCTGATTGTGCGCTGACTCTGACTGTGGCTCTTTGTGGGGGAAATACGTTTTCCCCGGCGTGTGTGGTATATGTAGTATCTCTGCGCGCGTTCAAAGTCGCCCATCTCACTCTCACTTCTAGAGCACCGCGCTCAGAATCAAGGAGAGCGAGCCATTGGGCGCTCTCACGTCCGTGCTCCGGAGTCTTGCTTGATCTCCGAATCCTCAAGTGGCAGAACAGATCGAATCTCTCCCGCAATACTATCAACTCTCATCTCTTGTCTCCTTCTCGCTTTGAACATAAGGAATCGCCGATGACAGACCCGAGTTTGATTGTTCAAAATAACACGACTAGCACAGGCGGTGAGGGAATTTATTGTTAGGCTAGAGAGTGAGTAGGGCCTGGTCATCGAACCTCCAGAGATATTTTCGTCGTGGAATACGGCATTGCGCTCACAAGGGGGGTACCAGAACTGCCCCCTCGCGATTTCGACGAGATAGTGCGGGATTTGAAGGTCGACTCGAGTCTAGAAAAACGCCATATGTCCTTGCGGCAGGTGGGCCCCTTTGACCGGACAACTCGACCACCTTCATTTTGAGTTTTCCATTGGAAATAGCCTATTTTCCATAGATTTTCTCTAGAAGCTGCCTCAAAACTCAAACCCGTGTCATGGAAGCTGGATGATAAGCTCGCTCAGAAGAGTGGCCATTTGAATTCGGTGCCATTTTCGTCGTTTACAGAGTTTGTTCACTCTGTGAAATTTCGCGATATTGAAAACCACGATTATGGAGACTGTACAACCTTGTAGAAGCTTCATTCGCTTCCGACGAGGATTCAATTCATGTGAGGAAGAGATTACAGCAATGATGTAACACGAAAAAACATCGGGCGCACAGAACTTTCTCACAGTGAATGAATCGAATGAATGGAGCTAATTTGCAATCTGACGTGGAACAATCCTCGGAGAAAGCGAGCAACATTTCTGACAGAGATGGGAACCCGACCTTGGGTACTTCGAAGCCTCCAAGTCGCCAACCGCACAGCTACTATTTGCCGGAAGGCCGGGTGCTGGAACTGATTGAATATTAACGAATGC